GGCACGCGCCGAGCACCGATCAGATCCCCCCCCCGGGGGAGGGGCGCGAGAAGCCGCGCCGCGCCGCGCCGCGCTGTGGCCAGCCCGGCAGCATGCGCCGCGGATCGGATGATGCAAGTTTCTCCGGGGGCATAATGTCCCCCCGAGAGAGCGGGTCCACCGGGCGGGCGGACCCCGGCCAGGCCGCGTGTGGGCGCGAGCCGGGGAAACACGGCCGGGTGCGTACCGACCCGACCTCCCCTTCCCCTGGCGGGGTCTTCCCCCCCGCCGGTTGCGAGACCGCACCGGTATAGTGCAAATGCCGGCGGAAAGGGGGGGAGGGCGTAAAAATAACAGTGCCCGGGCACGCACGCGCGCGCGCGCGCGCGCGCGCGCCAGACACGGCGGCCCCCCTCCGCTGAGGCGCCCGACAATTGGCTGTTGCGGGCGGTGTTTCCTCTTTTGGCCAAATCGCCGAATCTAGCAAGCCCCCGCGCTCTGTCCGAGGGCTCGGGGGAGCCAGCACAGGGGGACGTTCTGGCGGTGGTCGCCCGGGTCGCGTGTATGTACGCCCCCGCCGATCCTGGCCTGGCGAAAAGAAGGGACATCAGTTCGCACGCACGTGCCCGTGTGCCGTGCTTCCTCCCCCTGCAGCACGCCCACACATACACACACACACACAGACACACATATACATACACACACATACACGCACGCACGGGCATCAGGCCACAAGTCCCCCCCCCCCCGTGCGGCGGAGAACCCTCGCCCATTCCCGGCTCAGGGGCCGTTCGGTGTCGTCGCTCGCTCGCGGGGCCCCCCCGGTCCCCTGCGGGGTGTGTGCATGAGGCCATAATATGGGCTCCCGATGTCTTTTACGCTAAGCAGCCCGAAAATTGCGTTCACGAGATGGTGGCCCTCCGCGGACCCTACGCGGCGGAGGAGGGCACGGCTGCCACCGCCGCGTCGACCGCCACCGCCCTTTCTCGCCCTCTCTCTCTCTCTCTCTCTCTCTCTCTCTCTCTCTCTCTCTCTCTCTCTCTCTCTCTCTCTCTGCCCCTCTCTTTCTTGCTCCGTTCGCCCCGGCCCCCCCGCCCCCCCATCGGTGGCCGACCGCGTGCGCGCGCACATGGCGCCGGGAAAAAGTCCACTCGGGCGCAGGCAAAAAGAAAGTTGACCACGATGCGGCTCGAACACACAACCTCCTGATCCGTAGTCAGGTGCTCTATCCAATTGAGCTACGCGGCCTTGGGGAACCACCCTTACACAGGGCACAAATGCCGGAGGCTCGACTCCCCCCCCAACCGCCGCCCAGCGCGCGCACGCACGCATGCGTGCACGCGAGGCGTGTGCGTGCGCCTTCGTCGAGTGTCTTGGTGGCTGCTCCGGCTCAGGCAGGCCGCGAGATCGCAGGCACCGCCGGCGGCCCTCGCGCCCCGGCCCTCCACCACACTCCCGGCCCCCTCCCCCCCACCCCCCGTACAGGGAGAACACGCACGGCTGCAAAGTCTATACGTGTATTTTTCTTTTGGAGAGCAGATCGCACTGCCACCAGCAGACGAGGGGGGCCACGATGACCCCCCTCCCCGACCACCGGCCGGCCAGAGCACACACAGGGTAAGAGTGCGCGAAAGGTCACCCCCCCCCCCCCCCCCCCCCCTCCCCTCCCATTTCGGTGGGGGAGGAGAGGGGGGGAGGCAGGGAGAGAGAGAGAGAGAGGGAGGGAGAGAGGGAAAAGGTGTGTGCGGGAGACAGCCCCGTCAGGTATGCGGCCGGCTGTTGGCTTGGGCATTTTTTTTTTCCCATGCGCCCGGCGCCCCGGGCGCCTCGCCGGCCCTGCCCGCCCGGCACACCCCCCCTCCTCTAGACACTCACACCCGACCGGAGTACTGGTGCCAGATGAGGTGCTCCCGGCGGAGGGTCTTCAGGAGCAGACGGCCCGCCTGGCCGAGGGTCAGCATGGCCTGCTGCAGGGCGGACTCCTTCTCGGCTCGGGAGACCACGCTGCTATGGGACTTCCTGCCCTTCGTCGGGGGACTGACACACAGGGCCAGCACCGCATGCAGGCCCATCTGCACCGCGCGGCGGATGTGCTGCCCGGCGGCCGTGGCCTCCACGCACCGGATGTAATCCACCACCAGGCTGACGGCATACTTGTCCACCTGCCGGCCCAGCTCGGCAAACTGCTCCAGCACCTGGGACACATCGCGCAGGGCATGTGCCTGGGGAAGGGCCGGCCCGCCGGCGACCGGGGACCCCGGCATCGCCGGCGCCACGCGCGCCATCGCCCCGGCCACCGGGAACACATCGTGTGCCAGACCCAGCGACCAGGGGACCAGCACCGAGTAGAAGCCCAGCGGGACCGCCTCGGCCATCGTCGGCAGCAGGTACGTCACCATGAAGGCTGGCGGCGGGAAGGGGTTGTTTTTTTTTTCGTCCGGCCATCCGTCGGTCAGTCCTGTGTTCCTAAGCACACACACACACACACACACACGCAGAGGCGACCACCAAAAAGAGAAGAGCAAAGGAGCAGGGCAGTGGCGCTCGCCCGGCACATGCAGGGCACACAGCCGGCGAGGGAGCACCCAGGGGCCAGGCCACCACGAGCGTACCTCGCAGACACGGCACATAGAGCGCCGCCAGATCCGTCAGCGCCTGGCGCGCGTGGCGGATCAAGTTCAGATGCAGATCGAAGAGGGCCGTGTGCAGGCGCTGGCAGGAGGCCCGGTACTCCGGCAGCCCGTGCGGCACCAGCAGCACATCGGCCTCCGGGCAGAGGGTAGCCGGGCCGGACACGGACACCACCCCGGCAGGGGGCAGCGCGTGCGCCCGCGACCACGGCGATTGGCCATCATCGTCGGCCATGGGCGGCGGCTGCTGCGCGCCGAGGGCCGCCAGCGCGTGCTGGGCACCGCCGAGCTCGGCGGCCGCACGCATCGGCCGGCGCCCGGCCAGCCGCTGAAGGGCCGCCAGCATGGCTGCCACATTCTGCGGCCGGTGCTGCATCGACAGCAGCAGCGACCGCGACAGCAGCCGGGCCCAGCGGCTGGCCACGTCGATGTGCGCCGCATTGGCCAGGCCCACCGCCGCGTGGCCCATCACCAGGAAGGAGGCCCGCCGGGCTTCCTGCACCACGGCCGCCTCCTGCCCGGGGCCCCCGCCGGCCGACAGCTCCAGCACCGCCTGCGCCAGGGCCGACAGCCCCGCCCCGAGGGTCATGGCCCCGGGGCCCTGGGACGCGGCGGCCAGCGCGGCCACCACCTGCTGCCCGGCCGCCGGGAAACCCCCGGCACCGATGTACCGCAGAGGCGCCGCCAGCTGCCGGGCCAGCGTCTGGGCCACCGACTCCTCGGCCTCGTCGCTGGAGCCGGTCACCGCCCGGTTGGCGTCCATCCGCGTCACCATGGTCACGGCCGCCAGCAGGTCCGCCGTGTGCAGGCCCACGAGGGAGCCCTGCTCGCCCACCAGCTGGGCCAGCTGCGCCACCAGGCCGAAGGCCTGGCCCGCGCCTCGGGGACCGCCGGCCCCGGCCGCCCCGAGCCACGGGGTGTCGGCCATGGCCGCGCGAATGGCCCCGGCCAGGACGTCGCCTGGGCGCCGGGCCACACCAACGCCACCGCGCGCATCACCAAGGGGAGCCAGTTAGCGCGACGCACAGTGCAGCAGCAGCAGCAGCAGCAGCGGCGGCGGCCAGAGGTTCACTCCGCCTCCGCGGTATCCCCCCCCCCCCCTTACCCCCCTTACCCCCCCTGCCCTGTTGTTCGGCGGACACGTACCACTCAGGGTGCCCTTTGCGGGCGAGTCCTCCCCGGTAGGGCCGAAGGTCAGATGGCCCTGTGTGCGGGCGCTCTGCACTCGCAGGCACACCTGCAGCAGGCGCAGCCCGGCCAGGCCACGCGCCGCCAGGAGCTCCCACACCGGGGGCCCGGCCTCGGACGCCGCGTCCCACAGGCCCCGGGTGGCCAGCGTGGCCACCATGTCCACGGCCAGGCGCTCGATGGCACCCAGGCGCCCGGCCACCGCCGGGTCCAGGGCCAGGGCCGACCGGCGGCCACGCTTGCCGGTGGTCGCGCCGGTCGATTGCCGCAGCCGCAGCACCACGCCCTCCAGGCAGTGGGCAGCCGCGCGCAGCCGCGCCGTGTCCATGCGCAGGCGCCCGGCGCACACGCAAGCCCTGCCCTCGTGGCAGGGCTCCTCGTGCGCCGACCGGCCGGTGGTGCCGGCCACCAGGCAGTGGGCCAGCAGGTCCGACAGGCCACCGGCCGCATCGTCCACCGCCAGCATGGCCAGCGCCCGCACCAGCCGGCAGGGGTCCAGCGCCGCATGCCAGTCGGCCGGCAGCTCGGCCCCGGAGCCCAGCAACTCGGCCCACCGGGCCAACGGGCCCCGGAGCAGGGCCAGCGCCAGCCCCGGGGACAGGTGGTCGGCCGAGCGCGTGGCCCCGGCCGCGGCGCGCTGGGCCCCGGCGGCCACACTGCCAGCCGTGGCCCACGCCAGCAGTCGCCCGGCCAGGGAGAACCCCCGGCGCAGGAGCGCCTGCACGGCCACCGTGGCGGCCGAGGCCGGCTGCGCGACACCCGCCGCGCGTTGCGCCGCCTCGGCCGCCGCCCAGTACAGGGCATGCAGCAGGGTGGCCGCCGCGGCCAGCAGCCACTCGGCCGGCGCCGCGCCCGGAGGCAGCAGGCTCCAGTAGCTCAGCGGCCCGGCCAGCGACCGCCGGCACAGGGCCGCCGCCGCGGCGCCCGCATCCGCCGGTCCCGCCTCCGGCAGCAGCAGCGACCCGAGGGCCTGGTCGTCGGTCGACACATGGTGGCCCCCCTGCAGCCGGGCCGAGCGGCGCACCGGCCGGCTACCGGCCGACAGGAAGAGCGCCCGGCCGGGGGCCAAATGCCCCAGCAGGGCCCCCATGGCCGGGGCATCGCGGTCGATGGCGCCCAGGGCCCCGAGCGGGCCGGCCGGATCCGGCCGCAGGAGCACCGCCGTGCTGGCCCCCGGCACCGGCACCGGGACCGCCTGCAGCAGACACCGGCGCGACGCGGCCGCCAGCACCGGGCCCGAATGCAGCAGCCCCGACTCGAACCACAGGGCATTGCGCAGGAGATCCCCCAGCACCGGGCGATCGCCGGCCGCCAGGGGCGCGGCCGATTCCACCCCGGCCGCCAGCATCAGCTGTGCCAGGAAGTCTTCGGCCAGCTCCCGCGCCGGGCCCGGGCTCCAGGCCGCCGCCCAGTCAAAGTGCCGGCCCAGCAGCGGCCCGCACTCGGCCACCAGACGCATGACCGCCAGGCTGGGCTCCGGCCAGCCGGCCAGCCCGGCGCCCTGCGCAGCGCCGGCGGCACCCTCATCATGGCCATGCCCGCCGGCCGGGGCCCCGCCAAAGTGGGCCAGGTCCTGCTCGGCCACGGCCAGCCGGCAGGCGGCCCCGGTCGCATGGACCACCGCCTCCAGGCACCGGAGCAGGGTGGCCCGACCGACCGGCAGGTCCGGGCACCCGGAGCCCAAGTCCCACGGCCGCGGGGTGTCCAGCACCACCGGCTGCCCGGCGTCCAGGCCCTGGACCGAGGCCGCATGCAGCAGCCCCAGCAGGGCCGGCAGCAGGGCCGCCAGCTGGCCCAGGTCGCCGGCCAGCGCCCGACGGCCGGCCAGCAGCGACATGTCCTTGGGCACGGCCCGCGAGCCGGACTTGCCGCTGGACTTGCCGGCCGACGGGCCATCGGGGCCGGCGGTCGAGGCGACCTCCGGCCAGGTGGCATACACCGCCGGGCCACAGGCGTCCACCCGCGTGGCCAGCCCACGCGCCAGGGCCACCAGCTGGCCGACCGCCATCTCCGGCCCGGCCGGCATGGCCGCCAGCGTGCCGACCAGGGCGGCCGGGCTCAGCCGGGCCAGGCTCAGGGTCAGCAGCCCGGCCTCCACGGCCAGCCGCCCAGCGACATCGAGCGGGGCCCCGGCCGGGCCGGCGGCCAGGTCCGGCGCCGGGGACGCCGCAGCCGGCCACAGCCCGGCCACCAGCGGGCCAATTTGCGACAGGAGCAGGGCCCCAGTGACCGGGGCCCCACGCTCCAGGCCCAGCCCGGCACGCACCCGGGCCAGATCCTCGGCCGGCCAGGCGCTCTGGCCGATGAACACCTCGGCCACCGGCTGCGTCAGGACATCCACACCGCCGCCCAGGCGCCCGGCCAGGGTGTCGGCCAATTGCCGAGCCACGGCCAGCACCAGCCACCGGTGCGAGGGGCAGGCCACGGCCCCGGGCCCCGGGCCGCCGGTCGCACACTCGACCAGCGGCTCCACCAGTCCGGCTACCACAACCGCCAACGCCGGGCCCGGGTGCTGGATGTGCGCCACGCCCTCGGTCAGGGCCGCGAGCACCGGCCCCGGCAGCACCGGCGGCGAGGCCACACCCGCGCCCGGCTGCCGGGCACTCGCGGCCGCCAGCAGCAGCCCGCGCCACAGGGCCCGCAGGCACCGGTCCAGCAGCGACAGCCGCGAGTAGGTCTCCACCAGCCGGCAGCTGAGCCGCGTGGCGCCGCGTCGCAGGGCCGACGGGCTGCCGGCCGTGGCCGTCACATCGTCCAGCCGCCGGAAGCCCGGCAGGCAGGCCTGCCACACCTGCACCAGGTGCCGGTCCAGCAGCCCGTAGTCCATGCGCACCAGCGAAGTCAGGCACACCAGCGCAGCGGTGGCCAGGGCCGGCGACGCGCCGCCCATCATCGCCCCGGCCCCCGGGGCCGGCTCCGCCGTCGATGCCGCGGCCAGGGGCGCCGCCCACACCGCGTGTGCCACGCTCTCGGCCGCCAGCTGGGCCTGCTGCGCGCCGGAGTCCCGGCCGGCACGCGACAGCCCCGAGCCCGGCACCGCGCCCATCGGGTCGGCCACCAAACGCCCCAGCAGCGCATGGCCGCCGGTGGCCCAGGCCCCGGCCACCATGGCCACCTCCCGGAACCCCAGGCACAGGCCCAGGCTCAGCCGGGCCAGGGCCGCCAGTGTGGCCGACTGCCGGCGCGACCGGTCGTCATTGGCCATCGGCCGCAGGCCGAAGGCCGTGGCACTCGGCGACGCCGACACCGCCACCCGGTCGGCGCCCAGATCCAGCAGCTGGCCGAGGGCCGCCGTGGTGGCGGCCAGCGGGGCCGAGCTCGAATCGGCGCCCGACGCCCGACCGGCCCCGGCGAGCCAGCAGGCCGTGTCGCCATCCAGCACCGCCGCCGGGCCGGCCTCCGGGCCCAGCAGCAGCGGCCCGGCGGCCATCGCCATGGCCGTCACCCGGCGCCCGGGCGACAGGTCCAGCTCGCCGGCCGCGATGGCCAGCAGCTGGGCCAGGGTCACCAGGGCCGCGCAGCCGACCGTCTGTGCTTCGGCCTGGCCGGCGGCCACCGGCCGGTCCAGCCCCAGCACCACCAGCGGCACCACGAGCGCCGCCAGTTCGCGGAAGAAATTGAAGGACATGGCGATGGCGTCATCCTCGGCGGCCGAGGTGGCCGTGGCATCGGCCGGCGAGGCGTGCTCGCTCGCGGCCTTGTCCCGGCCGCCGGCGCCAGGCCCGGGGTCGCTGCGCGCCAAGCGCCGCCCCACGGCCAGGGTGAAGTCCGTCAGCAGGACCGGCAGCACCCCCAGCAGGCTGACCGCCGCCATCGTCGCGGCCCCATCGCCCCCGGCCAGCAGCCCGGGGTACAGCCCGGTGTAGAGCATCTCAAACAGACGCCGGGGGTAGCTCCGGACCGGCGGCAGCCGGACGGCCGTCCCGGCGATGGAGGCCTCCCCGGCCGGGGCACCGGCACCGGCACCGGCGCCGGCGTCGGCGGCGGCCTTGCCGCGGCCGCGCTTCTTCCCGGCCGCGGGATCCCCCTCGGCGGGGGCCGGCGCGGTGCCGGCCGCCAGCTTGGCCGCCTCCTGGTGCGTGTGCCCGGCCAGGCCGCCGGCCGTCAGGCCCAGGCCCCACAGCCAGCTGGAGGCAAATTCAAACAGATGGTCCGGGTGGAAGAGCGTGCTGGCCAGCACGCGCCGGGCCAGGCCCGCGTCCACCGGAGCCGTGTCGGTCGAAGTCATGACCCCGGCAAGAGGGGCTGACGGGGCGGCCGGCCCGGGGGCAGCCAGTTAGAAAAGCGAAAGGGACCGAAGCGGGGGGGGGGGGGGGGCGGGAGGCCGGTGCGAGGTTGCGGGAAAGTGGCCCGGGCGGGCGAGCGGGGAACATGCCGCCGCCGCCGTCGCCATCGAACGCACCGAGCAGGTCGTCGCAGATGGCCGCGAAGGACCGGCGAATGCCGGCCGCCGCGCCGCTGGCACCGTCGCCCTGGGCGCCGCTGTCACTCAGCGAGCTGACAGCCGACAGCTCGCTGTGCAGGCACAGGTGCAGGGCGGCCGTGCGCCACAATTGCCAAAGGCGCGCGGCCGCCGGCAGGGGCCCATCCACGGCATCGGCCCTGGCCGGGCACTCGCCCAGCAGGCCGTCCGCCGGGGTGATGGGCGCGGCCCCGGCCTCGGCCACCGCCCGTGTCAGGTCTGCCACCAGGGCAATGTGCGCCACGTCGCCCGGGCGGAAGACCGCCGCATACGGCGCGCGCAGCAAATCGATCGCCGGGGCCGGGTGCGCCAGCGCCGGATGATGCAGCGACCGGTCGGCCGACGACAGGACCAGCTCGCTGATGGCGGCCTTACGCCGGCGCTGCAAGTCCAGCGCATGGAGCCCATGCGGCAGCAGCAGCAGCCGCAGGGCCCGGACCACTTGCACGGCCAAGCCATCGGGGTTGGGCACCCGGTAGTCGCCGGCAATCGGGCAGGCTGCGGCCGGGCAGTGCGAAGGGCGGATGTCAGCCAGGCGGACCGGAGAAGCCCAACAGCCATGGAGGCAGGGCCCAGGGGGTGGGGTGGGGGGGGGGGGGGAAAGAGGGTGGACAGTCCATGAGCACGCACCGATCCACCGGCTGGCGAAGGAGACCGCCTGCAGGAGCGGCGCACGAATGGGCCGCGCCCGCAGCGAGTCCACCAGGAACTCCAGCATGTCGCCCAGCAGGCGCCACGTGTCCACTTCCAGACTCAGGAAGAACAGGCCGCTACATGCCGGGCAGGCACAGGGGCGCCAGGGCCGAGGGGCACAGGGGGGGGGGGGGGGGGGGGGGGGGGGGAGCCGGTGTTTGCACGTGGAGACTGGCTGTCTAGGCGAGAATGTGCCTCGGCCGTCGTCGGCCTCCAAGCTCTCGGACCCGGGGGGGGGAGGTCAGTCGGTGCACGGAGGCCCGGCAGGGGGCGTCCCATGCGCGAGGGCACAAAAGGGAGGGCGGGCGCACGCGCTCGGGGTGGACTTCGGCCCGCTGAAGCGAACCAGCGTCGTGGCCAGCCACTCGAAGAGATCGCATTCGTCCACGGTGGACACTTCGCGCGAGGCGCCGGGCTCGGTCGGGGTCAGGCCCACCGAGGACCTGCGCCGGCGGAGGCGCCCGGCGCGGCCGCCATTCCAGGACACCGAGTCCGAAGCCCGGGGCAGGGAGGTCAGAAGGGTGTGACAGCACAAGTGCCAGATGTGTCCCGCGGGAGGACCGCTCCGGGGGGGGGGGG